CCCACTGCTGAAAAGTTTGCTGACCCCTGCCTAATGAGCTGGTCAGTACTTCTTGGTATAAAGATCAGCAATGATGGACAAGCTTACCTGAAAAGCCACTTGCTTATCACTACTGATGTTCCCTTTCAATATGAAGATGAGGGGGAATATTGAGTAAGCTTCAAGATGGGGGTGGGGAGGTGGAGAGAGAAATTTGGTTCACGTTTAAATGTGAAATTACCAATTTCACACTTCCCAAAACCTAATCACAATTATCCCTCAAACACTGCACCTCTCTGAATTTTGTGGTGCAGTTCTCCAACAAATAAATATTAACACAAAGGTGTAGATTAGGGGAAAGTCTGCATAAAGATGCATGCATTTGTGAAAACAACATATAACAGCACCTCTGGAACTTCTCACTGCTCGGAGAAATGTGATCATACCAGTTTGCCCAGCCTGTTTCAGTGGAAATCTTCCTCAGCAACACAAGAATACAAATTGTTGACTTGTTCTTGCAAGGTTTCCTTCCTTCCTTCCTTCCTCCCTCCCTCCCTCCCTCCCTCCCTCCCTCCCTCCCTTCTCTTTTCTATTTGGTGCTGCCCTATTTTCACCCTCTGGGAATATATTTTCAAGTTACATTCATAAAACTGTAATGGGTTTCATCAAAACCTTCCAAACACCTTGAACAAATCTTTCCATATTTCTCTGTGCTCTACAGCTCATAATATGCCTCTTAACTGTAAATTTTAGTGTGTTGTGGTGTTCAGTGCACATGGGGCCAATGTCTATCCAAGCACCGAGTCTCAGTTGTTAACAGAGCTCTGTGAATTCACAGTAGTGTGTATTTGTCTAGGACTTACAGTGTTGGATATACAGATCCAAAATACAGGCTGCCCGGTCATTACTTTTGTTTGTCCTGTCCCGTTCCCCCATCCCCGGATATCTTTAAGAGATCTTGGTATCTTTGGGGGATTCAAGGAAGAATGAGGTCAGACTCTCACTGTGTGATGAGATTTGCAGACTCACAGAGGCAGAAGAATTGCTATAACTGCCTTAGAGTGCCTTCAAAGCACAGCACAAAATAAGCCATTCACTCATGTTTAACAACAACAACTTTATACACCATTTCATGCCATAGGCTTCTAAATGGTTTGCAAATTATTAAAACCAGTTATACAAACATTAAAATATGATTAAAATATACGTTAGAACAACACATCAATACAAACAGGAGATTTGGATCTAAAGATCTTGGGAATGCCTGTGTAAACAGTGCAGTACCAGTACAGATTGGACCTCTCATATTTCATCAGGGAGTGCATTCCAAAGCCACCAGTGAAGAAGCCCCCTTTTGCGTCACCACAAGTAATGTGTGCTTTGAAGACACACAGAATCAGGCGAGAGAAAGAGGCGATTGCTGCATTGCAGCGCAGGGTCCTGGTGCTAAATAAGAGGTCGACTCTGCTCCTCATGATCAGGTTGTCAGTCCCACCAGGCACAAGACATGACCCTTCCCCTTCTTTACAAAGACTTTTCCATGTGCAGGGAATTCAGAGAAGGAGGGGGTGTTCGTGACATCCACATCGTTCTGAGACTGGGCTCATGGTCACAAGGACAGGATTCGTTGCTCATGGCAACAGCATTTTGCAACGCTCCCAAGATAGCTGTGGAGGCACAGATTTCTTCTGGAGTTCTGAGTACTAAACTAATTATTCTCCACACATCTTTCAAGGCAAAAGCTCCTGCCAAGCAGCTCCAGAATATGGCCTCTGGGGCCTTACATATTCAAAAACATAAATGTGTATGTGGTTCATTTATTTTATTTTATTTTTTGCAAAAAGTGTTCACGCTGTCCCAAAGGTCCGGTTCAAAACTTTCTAAGAATGGTAAGAATCCATATTTGCCAACACACTGGCACTGCTTCTGTGATGGCAGTTTGGATTATGAGGCCTCTGTTTATGGTAAAGGCCCAGTCCACTGCCTGGTCCACCTCAGTACCAGCCAGTGGGATGTATTTGTAGGAGTACAGCTCCTGTGGTTCTTGCACACCGAATCCCTACAAATGTCAACATGACTGCTCCATCTGTGGGACCTCTCATAATTTGAATGTGTCAATTCTTAAAGTACAGCTACAGGGATTCCCAGGGCAAAACTCCAGGACCTGAGGGAGGACAGTGCATCTCAAAAAAGGCCATGTCCAATTAGGACATGGATGCCACGTGCCAAATTCTGGAGGACTATCCCCTTAGGGAGGATACTGTTTACCTCAGGGAGGTTTTCTTTTTAGTTTTCACATCCCTTATGAGGGTTCACAGCACCCTCTTTTGCAAGGAATCTGAAGTTGGTATTAGGCATGGAGTATCTAGCCTGGCAGAAGATAGATAAGGAATGTAACAAAGGCAAGGTTTTAGGCCCCTTTTCTGTCCCTCCAATGCCTGAGGTAAACAGTGTTGGGTGTTGCCTCTAGTTATAATGCCCTAGAAAGCCCCAAGTGACTTTAAGCTTATTCACCACTTGTCCTGTCACTCAATCATCACATCCCAGATCAGTTGTGCACAGTTTCCTATACCTCCTTTGATCTGTATGGTTCAGAACTGTGTTAGTGAGTCCTTGATGGGCAAATGCAACATTAAATCTGCCTTTTGCCTGTGAGCTCTGGGATTTTTATTTGTTGGGCCTTGATGGATGGCTCTTGTTTTGTTGACATAGCTTTTACAATTGGCTGCTTGGTACATGTTTGGTACATTTTTTGGAGTGGGTGGTCAAGAGGTGATCAGGTCTGGCACAGGGGGTGCACTGTTTAAATGATTTTCTCTGGCACTTCTGATTCTGGGGAGTGCCAGTTTTTTGATGGAGCAGTTTTCTCAGATGACCCTTGATGGCCAGGCTCATCTTCAGCTATGGTGGTTGAAGACGGACCAGTGTTGCAAGGATATAACCATCTCATTAGCCCAATGGGTGAGCTATGGAGGAAAGGGGACTAAATAGAGATTTGCCCCCTTTTGTGGGAGTTCAGGTGTGCAAAGGGGAGCAGCTGTGTTTCAGCCTGATGAGTCCCTTTAGGTACCTTTCAGGGTGATGGGTTGCCCTTGAGGCTTCCTGTCTGGGCTTAGAGGTGGGATATGGGCTGCTTCTGACACTAAACTGCTTCATCAGCCTGAAGCTATGGAGCCTTGCTGGTGGAGCAGTATAGGCCTTCCTACACACATTCAGGGTATAGTCTGGAAGTAGAATGCAAGCTGGACAGCCATGCTTCTAGCGCCTGCACTGTAGAGGCTGCAGTTGGGTTCAGGTTTGCTCCTGTACCAATAGCAGACCCTCCACAGGTTCCTATTTTCCAACTCTCCCAGTTTCTGATATGATCCCAGAATGCCCCACTTTTCCTTAGGACATCCCTATTTTCATGGGAGAAATGTCGGAGGATATGGAGTTATGTTATGTGACCCCCAAGTCAAGGAGATAAGTAATAGTGCAACCTTTAGAAGACATCTGAAGGCAGCCCTGAACAGGGAGGTTTTTAATGTTTAATATTTTATTATGTTTTTATATATGTTGGAAGCTACCTAGAGTGGCTGGGGCAACCCAGTCAGATGAGCTGGTATAAATAATAAAATTGTTGTTGTCGTTGTTGCTGTGGAATGGGACATCCCTATTTTCATCAGCGAAATGTTGGAGGGTATGCAATAGTGTTGCCCTCTGCAGGGTTTCTGTGGGTTTTAATCTTCTATAAAGAGGCTCTAGTTCAACCCAGACTCTCTGTCAGACTCTTCATTTGGTAATCAGGTCAAAATACAGTAATTTATTTTATCACTGGAAAACCCCTCCAGTAAACAATGTCTGTGAAGGCTGGTGCAATTGGCAGTGGGAGAGCAAGTTCGTTTCTTTCTTTCTTTCTTTCTTTCTTTCTTTCTTTCTTTCTTTCTTTCTTTCTTTCTTTCTTTCTCTCTCTCTCTCTCTCTTTCTCTCTTTCTCTCTTCCTTCCTTCCTTCCTTCCTTCCTTCCTTCCAGCCAAAGAAATAAAACCAGGTCTAGGTAAAGACAGGTAACTGGTTTGAGGTGTCATGAAAGGGCAGCAAATAGTCTGTCAGAAGAAGAAGAGGGTAGTGCTTGTGGAATATGTTGTCACAGTTCTCAAAACGCCTTAGTGCCCCTTGAATAGTTTTGTACCTTGACTTGGGCCTGAGGGTAGCAGTAGCAGGATGGCCTCTGGCAGCAAAAGGTATTGGATTGAGCACCAGAAATCTTTCACAAAGTGTGTTGGAATTGCATGGACGTTTCCCAGAGGAAATTGGGCTGGCCGCTTTGGAACAGAGAATGCATGGACCCTGCTCTGATCCAGCATCACATGTCCCTAGCCTAGATTATGACAATTTGGCAGTTCAATGTGTGCTAGGAAAGCAACTGGAAGCCCTTGAGCTACACCTAGCTTCTCCAGTTGCAAATCTATATGCTAAGTAAGGAGGGATGTGAAGGGAGTTGCATCTGTAAAATTGGTTGTGCCAGCAGTTCAGTTTATGGGGTTGGTAGGCCCATGAGGCAGGGTAAAGCAGCCACCTTGGGCAGTAGAATCCCATGGTATGGTGCCTCTGTAGGTAGCCTCACCCTACCACTGTTGGGGGGGGGGCACAGAGAGATTTTTGGCTGGCTTCCAGAGAGATTTCACCAGAAGCTACTGCCATGTGACCCTGGTAAATGAGACTTCAGCTGCAGGCAAGGACAGCACTTTCCCATTCTTCAATAGGCAACAAAACAAGATGGCTGCCCCTGGGGATTAGGGACATGACCCATCAAGTGACTGAAGACTCAGGGAAGAGTATGAATGGGGGACTTTGGTTTCCCCAAAATTAAATCTGGTTACCTGAAAGTTCTGTGTGTAATGTGCAGTAGGCAAAGTATCTGGGAAGGAAAAGGTGACCCAACTGAGGGTTAATAATTGCTTATGTTTGTGAACAGCTTTTGCATAACTGCGCTGTCATTTACTCGACATTTTAAGAAAAGCAAGCCGCAAGAAGCATTAATATGGCTAAATAAAAGTTTATTACATGCTGCCTACATAAATCAATGCAACACAGTGAGCCTTCTAATCAGAATCAGAGACACACACCAACCGTAAGCTCCAGATTAACACGCAACCGCTTATAAATCTTGAGTGCATTTCTGGTTTCTAATGCCAAAGGTTTCATAAATAATAATCATTCTTTAAAATATCAATCAGGCGAGGGCTTAAAGCATATGAAAGCTAAAGTGGCATAAACAAAAGGGAAGGGAACCTCCGCGGTTGCCAGCAGAAACAGAATTCATTTTTTAGCCATTAATCATCTGGCACCTATGTTGCTTTTCCAGACGTGAAATGTAAGACATGGGGGGGGGGGGAATTACGCCATCACTGCCACAAGCTGCATACATTGATTAGCACATTTAATGCTTTGGTGCTCATTGTGCAGAAGATTAATAGTCCTCCTAAGCCAAGGCATCAAGCACAGGAAATACCTGGAGAGCAGAAGTGGCCATGTGTTCCTTAAGGGCACTCAAGGCTCTTGGAAATGCCACATATCTTGACCTACTTGTGGGTAGCCAGCTTCATTTCCTGCATTGGCTGTGGACACAGTGTCGGGGAACATGGTGGGTTCCAAAGGCATGGCAGCGTCAGCATTAAAAGGCATGAAGCTGTCAGGGAGCCCTTCAGCTGCCGGAGGGGCTGCTGTGGCCTGGGGTCCACCTGCTGGTCCTTTGCTCTGGGCAGCGGGGTTTAGCAGGTTGCTGTTGGCATTGGGCAAGGCACCACCCTGGCTGCCATCTAGGGGGATGATGTTGCTCCCCTTGCCTGGAGGGTTAGCTCCTGCATTGGCTCCTCCTTGAACTTCAGGCTGCTCTGTTATTCCAAGCTGGTCGTCTTCCACAGTGTAATCACCTGGCCCACCGAGGTTCGGTTGCATGTTTCCATATCTAGCATCCATGGCAAACAGGTTTGGGCCCGGTGCGCGATAGGCTGGTGCGCCAAATCCACCACCCTGGGAGAGAAAAAATTGCAGAGGGTCCCATTACCACGGCTGCCATAAATTCCCATTGCTAAGTTTTACCCTGCTATGAAAAACAAATGTGGATTTTGCCAAAGTTAAATCTCAACTAAGATATTTCATAGAATTGTAGAGTTTGAAGGGACCCTGAGGATCGTCTAGTCCAATGCCCTGTAATGCAGGAATATGTACCTTTCCCATATGGGGATCAAACTTGCAGCCTTGGCATTATCAGCACCATGCTCTAACCATTTGCACTGGTACCGGTATTTCCATTTGTACCACTGGTGTCAACCTCCCAGTAATACTAGGAGAAAGGGTGGTCTCCCGGAAGCAGTGCTACATGTCCATGAAATGAAAACCATGTCTTAAATCTCTGCCCTTGCCCACCCCAGTAGCATTTACCAGAGCTCTTCCAATATCCACACTGGCAGCAGTATTTTCACATCACGGTAAGCTATAGTTAATATAGCTGTGAATGTGCAGAGGACTCTCACTTCACCCCTTGCTTTGCACAACCCCTGGCTTAGTGTTACACCCAAACTGAACACTGTGGTTTTCTCCCCCTTCCTTTGCTCCCTTTCGTTTGTCTTGGGCTTACCAACTGTGGCTGGAGTGTTTCCTGCTTGGCAGGGGGTTGGACTCGATGGCCCTTGTGGTCTCTTCCAACTCTATGATTCTATGATTCTATGAAACAAGAGAACTGTCCCTGGTTCAGATGAAAGGCTAAACCAGGGAGCATGGTTTGTTGCTGCTGCTTGTGCCAGGGGAGGAGAGAGGTGTCGAGCAAACTGAACCAATGCATGTTTTCCTGCTCCACATCATGGTCTGTTACTAGCTGGGGCTGTGACTTCAGTGCTGAAACATTTGCTCTAGATGTTTTGGAATGAGAAGGGAGTATTAAAAATAGGGCTGGCATTTCTGATGCCAGGTGTGTGTTTAATGGAACATTCTGGGCTTGATTCTCATTCACTTCCTGGTGAATTAGAGTCTAATGTAGGATTTTAGTGTTGGGGATCACTTACTGATTCAGATTGGAGTAAAAGGTAAAGGGACCCCTGACCATTAGGTCCAGTCGTGGCCGACTCTGGGGTTGCAGCGCTCATCTCACTTTATTGGCCGAGGGAGCTGGCGTACAGCTTCCAGGTCATGTGGCTAGCATGACTAAGCCGCTTCTGGCGAACCAGAGCAGCGCATGGAAATGCCGTTTACCTTCCTGCCAGGGCGGTACCTATTTATCTACTTGTACTTTGAGGTGCTTTCAAACTGCTAGGTTGGCAGGAGCAGGGACCGAGAACGGGAGCTCACCCCGTCGCAGGGATTCAAACCGCCGACCTTCTGATTGGCAAGTACTAGGCTCTGTGGTTTAACCCACAGCGCCACCCGCATCCCTTCAGATTGGAGTAGTTTCCTTTAATTGAGGGGAAATGTTTTGTGTCAAAAAGGGAGTGGCTGCTTATTCGAAGGCCAAGCTTTTTTTTTTTAACCCTCCTTGGCACTGACAGGCTTAAAAAAAAGAAAAAAGAAAAAGAAACCCTACTATATATTTGTTTCTCCCAAGTATTTCTCTTCCAGCATCAGTGGTAAACTGTATACATCACTCAATATTGATAAACCTGTATTGTGATACATATCTAGCCATGTAAGAGAATTACGGAGATGTGCTGACATTACAATCCTGTAATCAGCATTATATCAGTTTGAGGGTAATGACCTCTCCAAGTACTGTCAATTTTTTTGTGAGGTAACTAAGAAATGTTCCTTAGCAACTCTGAATGCCATCACTACAATTCATAGAGTCCCTTGAATGGTAGCTATTATAATACTTAGCTTTTAATGTTTATAGCATGACAGCCATCCCCCAACCAGCTGTCCTCCAGATGTTTTAGGGTAAAAACCTCCCAACGTCACTGACCACTGGCCATGTAGAGAATATCTGATGGGAGCTGGAGCCCATCAAGACCTGGGTGGCACCAGGTAAGGGAAAACTGGCATAAGGTATCTTTGTAGACAGAATTTGCTTTTTCATTTATTCACAGTGTAAATTAATGTATTAATTAAGGAGGCATATTTCAACTTATCACGACTCACCGGCATTTCTTCTGAGCTTACTATTCCTAGTCTGGCAGGAGCTGCCTAAGGAACATATAAGCAAACAGCATATGAAGACCAAATCATCCCAGGCCGATACACATACAGTGGTGGGAAAACACCCTTCATTTTAAAGCATATTATACCCATTTGATTGTACTTCATAAAGCATTTCTGTCTACATGGTTTAAAAGTCCACATTGCTGCTTATATTATTTCCTTCTCTTTGAAACATTAGTGTATCTATCATAAACAAGTTAATGAGCTCTGGAGTGTTTTGCTTTCCTTCACTGAAAATTCTTCCTGTCTTTTGAAATTAAAAATGCAATGTGTAGCTTCCAGGGGTAGGTTTATGATCATTCCCATAAGTGTGCTCCCTCCCTCCCTCCTCCCCCCCCTCTCTCTCACACACACATTTGAATAGCTAAATTAGAATGCAATTATTCTTTTGCAAGCAGCATACAGAAAAATCACTTCCTTGATTCTACCCATTTGTCGTATTTTAGTGTGACTGACGAAAAGGATGAGACTATGCAGATGAATGGGTTGAGATGTGTAGATGAGTGGCAAGTTAGTTCTCAGATACTCTTGTTGAGCTTTTTGAGACAAAGTAATCAAGCTGTGATAAGGAAAACATTGGGTGGGGAGGAAAGGGAGCGCTGGGATTGGCCGTAGCGGAAGGGCAAGCTCTGCCCTCATTCAGGTGGCATCTCTGAATTCCTTCTCCATTCATTCCTGTGAGGAAAAAGTGCTGCACTTAGATACACTTTGCCCTTTGGTTCTGGTGCTAGCTGGCCACAGCTTCTACTGGGGTGACAACAATATTGGTGTTGCCAGCATTCCCATACTGTGCGCGGAGCACACAGAGATGTACCGCACCCCAGATATTCCTTTAATGTTTTGGTTGTCTCCCTGACATGATAATGATAAGGATTTCATTGCCTGTAAATGAATGCAACATACTTACTCCTTGGTTGGCTATGTAAGACATGTAATGCAAACTGGGTGGCATCTAGACAAAGGAGAAAACCAATTAGCAGTAGTTTTGCTTTCAGGAACAGTACTCTTTGTTGTTTCATGCAAAACAGCGAAGAGCTTAGGATCAGACCATAGGCCCGTCAGCATCTTGTTCTCAATGGTAGTCTTGCCAAAATGCCCTAAGACACGGATGGAGAACCTTTGAGTTTCCAGGTGCTGCTAGACTCCAAATCCCATCAGTCTAGCCAACATGGCCAATAGTCAGGGATGATGGGAGTTGTAAACCAACTACATCTGAAGAGCCACAGGTTCCCAGTTCTTGCTCTTATAGTTAGCACCTACACTGTCAACTTAAGTCATCACTTCTTCGCAGCAAGTATAGAATCATAGAAATGTAGGGTTGGAAAGGATCCTGAGGGTCATTTAGTCCAAACCTCTGCAATGCAGGAATCTTAGCTAGATCATACATTACAGATGGCCATGCAACTTCTGCTTTAAAACCTCCAAGGAAGAAGTGTCCAACACCTCTCCTGGGTGAGATTAAGGTACTGCAATAATTTTACGTGATTCACTGTACTGATGGCTTTTCTCCAGACAGATCAATAAATCCTACTAGTAAGAATGATTAAGTGGGATTCCCACCCCCTGTATTGCCTAGTCCAGGCATCCCCAAACTCGCCCTCCAGATGTTTTGGGACTACAGTTCCCATCATCCCTGACCACTGGTCCTGTTAGCTAGGGATGATGGGAGTTGTAGTCCCCAAACATCTGGAGGGCTGAGTTTGGAAATGCCTGGCCTAGTCCTTTACTGCCCTGCCCAGACTTGTCTGTGAGGTCAATGTGGGGTGTGCATGTGGGGTAGCAAGGCTGAAAGGAAGACACTTGATGGCTGCCTTTGCTTTAGAGCTCTGTGTTACCATGCACTGCTTTGCTTCATGATGGATAGTACAGAAAGCACCCATATAAACAGAGTTCTTGCATAGCTTAACTTCTCAGAAAAGTCACTTTGGACATAAGAACAGAAATGAGATGAGAACAGAAATTGTGCGACGGCAGCACAGCAGCAGCGGGAGGCCCCATTAGCTAAAGTGGTACCTCAGGTTAAGAACAGTTTCAGGTTAAGAACGCACCTCCAGAACGAATTAAGTTCTTCACCCAAGGTACTACCACTGTAATACCACAAAGTTCTGAGCCTGAAAGCACCTAACTGCACCACTGGGGTTGCATGTTAAGAGAGTTCAGCTATGGGAATCAGTGTGCTGTCTGCATGACTGTTTTGAGAATCAACATACAGATCTTTGCTGTGGCTGTTTGGCCACATCTTGTGGGGTTCCAAGAGCTTTGCAAGAGAAAGGAGCATAGAAACATCCAGTGAAATGCAATGCAAGGCAAAAACTAATATATATAAAGAATAGGTAGAATAATACATACCCAAGAAAAGTATCCAAAAACTATGGGCGCTGCCTATTTGTGCATAGAGTTCAATGCTAATTTTTCAAGGCGATATGAAATAAAATTCTATACTGACTGCCTGACCTAATGTCCCTGAGTATTCTTGTATAGCGGGTAACTGTATCTATCAAGAAAACATTTAGAGACATAAGACTAAGAGATGCAAAGTGAATAAAAAAAGCAAAGACGGGCCTTAATCCTAACTTGCAGTTGAGGCTGGATGCTTTTACAGCAGTGTTTTGGATGGAAATTTGAAATTCTATGGAAGAAAAATCTTCCAAAAATTCGGAAACTGGCCTTTGGTAGGAAAATGAACCTATCATCTGGGGGTGGGTGGAGCTCAGTTTTCAAGCACTGGAGTCCCTGAAACCTGTACTGGTGGTTTTGGGACTTAGATGTCACCTGTTTATAAAACTGACCTGCTGAGGTTGTCTCTCTGATGGCTGCTGTTGGACAACTGGCTGGTTTCCCTCCGGCAACAGAAATGGCTTCTGCTGGAATGGTGGCTGCATATCGTACTGCTGGAGTTGGACTTGCCTTGTAGGAATGAGATTTATGAGCTGGAAGAGAGGTTGCTCTTGCAGTTCAGGCTGCTGAAGCAGAATGGGTGTCTGCTGAGATGGTAGTGGAGGAGGGTGTACAGGCATGCTGATTTCATACTGTAGAGAGGAGCGTGGGAGGACAAATAGCCAGAAGGAAAAGGGTACAGTCATTAAGAAGTTATGTCCATGATACCAAAGGCAGTGCATGCCTTTTTAAAAAGTTTCTTATGTATTAGGCTCTTGCCTGCAAAATCTCACGTTCTTTCATTAGTATTCAAGATGCCAAATAATTAGCAAAAGATGCTAATGACTGAGTTGTACTGAAATAAAGATCTCTTTAAATGCCTATAAAGCACAATCCTTAATCATTCCTTATGTGTTCCAAGAGGGCTTTCTCCCTATAAACTGTGCCCTGACAGCAAACAGAAAATTGCCATTCTTCCTAGCAAATATCTTGGGGAATAGTTTGGCTGTCATCATTTAAGAGATATGAAAGCGATTGCATCACATCCAGATGCCTTGTTTATTCAGCATTCATCCTGATCTTTTTGCCCAAAATAGACTATGACTTGAGTATTCATTCCGATATTTTATTTGACAATGAACATTTATCCTCCATCCATCCTGATTTGTTTGCAGGCTGTTTTGCACATCTTCCTATTAATATTTCATTCTCCTCACACTTTTCAATGCATTCCCCCATTGCTTTCCAAACCACAAAAAGCTCAAGGGGTTTTGGTTTTTTTGGTTTTTTTAAAGGATTTGTTGCACTCAGGCTTTAGTCCACTTTAATGGGGCAAACCTAAAGTCCGAGTAAGTGCTTGAATCTCTCCAGCAAAATTCGAAAGGCCTGGAAGCACCTTATTTTTAATCCTCATTATACTGAGTACAGTTCCCAAAATTACTGTAGCACAAGCAGCTTACCTGTTGAGTTTCATGTTGCTGAGGTCTTCCTCTTAGCCAATAGTAAGATGAATGTGGCGGAAGAAAGTTGTGTATCCACATTGTATTAAACGGATCTGCATAGCTATAAGCCTGAGCATACTAAAGAAATGGCAAAAATCAATGCAGATATTCTGCAGCTGCAATCCACATTTTAGCATTCTTAAAAACTCGCGTTAGAATGTGGCATCATAAATAGTTGGTAATGGGTTTTCTTATTGATTTCTGTTATGTTGACATACCCAGTTCTTTTCTGCTCAATAATACAGCCATATATTTCATTACAGAAGGATAGAGGCAGAAGAGGAAGGTGGAACAAAGAAGTATTTACAATTATTCCACCTTTGGGTACCCAAGGAACCCTCAAGTTAGTTTACAAATTAGTAAAGAAATACAGACAACATAAACCCATATCAATGAATAAAACATAAAGCCTTTCTTACAAGAGCACAACAGGATTTTTCAAAAGTACAGCATTAAACTCTAAGACCTCCAAATGCCTTCTGAAATAAAAAGCTCTGCACTTTTTATCCATAGTCCTCTAGATAAAGTTAGTTTGACTATACGTAGCTGCAATCCTAGGCAAGTTTGCTTGGAAGTAAGTACTTATTCTCTAGTAAGCATACTTAGTCTTGAGTAAACATGCATTAAAATAGGCTGTATATCCAAGAAACCAATGGAACAAAGATAGCCCAGGCTAAGACTGCAGTCCTATATGAATTCAGTGGGATTCACTTCTGAGAAGATATGTAAAGGGTAACACAGTAGATTCCATTCCTCGCAATGTAGAACAGACAAATCCTTTCTATGTTTACAAAGCTGTATGTCACACAAAACATAAAATAAAATAAAATAATTGCAGATTGGATTGCAGCCTTGGTCATGGCCAACTTGAGCCAGAATGTACCTTTCCTTTGTCTCTTTTAATTGACTTTTAAACTGCTTGAGGGTTGATCACACATTGCACAGCCTACAGGCCCAAGCTGTCTCTACATATGCACAAGTATTTGTGTGAAGCAGTGCAATTCATGCATCTGTACAGCTCAGCTATTGTATACAGAGATACATAGACCGCACACTTGTTGAACAAAGTATACAGCGCAACTATCTGGGTACACAGGCTTTGCGCATGTTGAACACTATGTGATTGTTATAGAAATATAGAAATATTTTATTGTCACTGTACCACTTGTTTACAGTGAGATTAAACAAGCCCCCCTTTCTCCCACAATCTCTCAGTCCTTGTTATACTCTGTGTGCTGTTGTATGACCACCAACCCCGGACATAAGCTGCACTGTTGCTGTCTTCCATTCAGCAGCCTCATGACCCACAGGTAGAAACTGTTCGTCAACCTGTTGCTGTGGCTTATCATGCCTTTATATCTCCTGCCCGAGGGCAGGAGATTAAAAAGGTGCTGGCCAGGGTGTGAGTCATCCCTGAGAATGTTCCTCGCTCTTCTGAGGCAACGGTCTCCTGCGATGACATCTAATGGACTCAGGGGACAGCCCATGATATCATGTGCTGTCTTCACCACCCTCTGTAGGGACTTTCTGTCCAGGGCTGTCAAACCAGTGTACCACACCGTAATACAGTATGAGAGAACACTTTCTATCGTGGACCGATAGAAGGAAATCATCAGTTGTTGAATTTTAAGACAAGATCCAACATCATGCCAGCAGATAGGATGGGAATTCTCCTTCATCTCCTTCCCCTATGAAGATTTGGGCCCCCGCAAATCTACTCTAGAGGCATCCCCCAACCCTCTGGATAACTTTTTGGAGATGCAAGCAGACATCTGCTGAGCAAGCAGGATATTACAATTGGATTTCTATTGCCAAAGGAACAATAGATTTTTTGGGTAGTTTGTCATATAGGAAAATATTCTAGAATTGCATCATGTATTTTCTATTGCAGTTACATTCACTTAGAAAGAGAATTTTTCAAAGAGGGTATCTGTAGTTAGCTGCAGTTACCTGCGGGAGTACACCTGCCACGTTTGGTCCCGCCAATTGTCTCATCAGCTGAAAAGAAATGAAAAACCCACAACATTAATACCAACCATTTTATCTTCGCAATATTCTGCTCCTTCTTATTGCCCCCCCCCCCGCCCATTTCTGATGTGCAGAATTGGTATTTAACTCAAGGTCCTTATCTTTTGATGCCAGAGATAGTGCCTCGAACACAAGTAATAACACTTCTAAGCACGTGCAGAATGCCTTCTTATTGTGGAAGAACTCCCTGATATTGTATAATGCCTGTGTCAGATAAACATAAAAAGAACCTTGCGGGATCACATCCTGATCACACACATCTAGTCTAGGCCAACATCCTATATCCAAATGCAGCCAGCCAGATTCTTTTGGGAAGCCCTCAAACGCAGCATGAAACCATAGCCCTTCTCAACTTTTTGCGCCCAGCAAATGGTATTCAGAAATACATTGCCTCTGAAAGTGGAGGTTGCTATCACAGCTAGTAACCCTTGGCAGACCAATTCTGTATTAAAATGGTCTGTTCCTCTTTTAAAGCCATCCAAACTAATGGCCATTGTGGCAGCAATTCCCACATGTTGCTTATGCATTGTGCACAGAAGCACTTGTCTTTTATCTGTTCAGAATCTCCTACTGGACAGTTTCATGGGGTGGCCCGAAGCATTAGCGTCCAGGAGAGGAAAGGGGTGGTGAAAATCTGTCAAATTTTCTTCTTTGCAGGTTGTACGAGTCTTTGTTTAAGGTCCAGAGCCACCCTTGTTATAGATCAGGGTTTCCCAAACTTGGACCTCCAGCTGTTTTTGGACTACAATTCCCACCATCCCTGACCTCTGCTCCTGCAAGCTAGGGATGATGGAAGTTGTAGTCAAAAAACAGCTGGAGGTCCAAGTTTGGGAAACCCTGTTACAGAGCTTAACACAGTTTCCCACTGCTTGGCTGAGATCGAGATTTCAAATTCTTTATTCTGATCCTCCCTTAATATATGTGCATTGAACTGGTTTGCTGCTAATAAACATTTCTATAAGGTAATAGGGTTTTTTTCCTTGTTACATAAGAATTAATCAGCTGTTTTAATATCTCTGGGGTCTCTGAGGTTGTAAAAGCTGTTGGTCTGTAAATGGACAAATGCTTTTTCTGAAGATATTGCCATCGAGCATTTAAAGGTAATTGATATTTAGCTTTTAATACAGAGTACATTCATACCTTGGTTAATGAACGCTTTGTGAGTCAAACATTTTGGCTCCCAAATGCCGCAAACCTGGAAGTGAGCGCTCTGGTTTCCAAACGTTCTTTGGAACCCAAACGTCTGACGTGACTTGCAGGGCTCCCTGCAGCCAACTGGAAGCCAATGGGTTTCTGAACATTTTGGAAGTCAAACGGACTTCCGGAACAGATTCTGTTCAAATTCCGAGGCACCACTGTATACATAAAATTCATCCTTCTCATCTATCAAATGGTCCAGAGAATACATGACAGGCAGAGATAACTAATTCTGCTTTGGTCCCCATCCTTTTCCCTGCTGACATCTGCAAAGACAATGCTGAGATGGTGGAGGGGGGGCGGAGAGAGAAGCTGGCAGCCAGTGCCACCCCCTGGACTGGATGTCTGTAAGAAGGCAGGCAAGCAGGGGCTGGCAGAGGGCACACCAAGGTTGTTGGGGGCACTGCCACATTTGCCCTAGTGCACCAACCTCCACTAGCAGATTGTGCATATCAGCAGCCCAACTGCTGCATGACAGTTCTTAGGTCAGTGTTTCCCCAACCGGTGTTCCGCGCACTAGTGTGCCGCGAGACCTTGCCTGGTGTGCCGCGAGATGTTGCCTGGAGGGAGGCGGGCGAGTCGGGCGGCGAGAGGCGGGGCGGCGGCGGCGAGGAGAGGCCGCCCAGCGCGGGGCTCTCGCCGTCTGCCTGCCTGGCTGCCTGCGTGGCGCTGACGTCACGGGGCTGTAACGTGCCCCACATTGGCACACGCGGGGCGGCGAGCGAGCTCCCTCCCACATCCCATCGCCGCTCGCTTCGGCCGGCCTACTGGGCTGTCGCAGGCGGAAGCCCTGCGCATGCGCGAGGTTTTCGCGCCTTCGGGATTCCCTTCACGCCTTCCTCCTCCCGGGTCCTTGAGAGCGCGGGAAGCGGCAGCGCGAGACCGGCGTTGAGCCTGGTAGGTATTGCACTTGCCAAGGCAGTCATTTGGGAAATGAAAACTTGCAAAGCAAGCAACCAGTTCAATCTGAAGTACGTGTATGCTTAATATCCTGTATCTGAAACCTGTTCTGCCCCCTCCCCCACACTTGGTGCCATTTTCATCTACACATGCAGCAGAGTAAGTTGACCCAGAATAGTACCATTCAGATGGCAGATGGAATGACAGGCGAATGCTTTGTAAGTCCCCACCTAGCATATTGTGCTGCCTAACCATACTCTATGGTGACTTCCATTGCATGTAGGCCCAATCATGACCGTGCTTTGCCCAAAAAGTGGAAACACTGTCTTAGGTGATGTGAGATAACTCTTGTAACATCGTTTGTTGCAGGTGATAGAGTAAATAATGCAGTACAGTCCTGGTTGGTGAATTAGTTATAAAGCCCACGATTGGCAACAGAATTTATTTGTTCCTAAGCATCACAGACGCAGGTGGCGCTGGTGTGGTTTTAAACCACAGAGCCTAGGACTTTGTCGATCAGAAGGTCGGCGGTTCGAATCCCCGCGACGGGGTGAGCCTCCCATTGCTCGGTCCCTGCTCCTGCCAACCTAGCAGTTTGAAAGCACGTCAAAGTGCAAGTAGATAAATAGGCGGGAAGGTAAACGGCGTTTCCGTGCGCTGCTCTGGTTCTCCAGAAGCGGCTTAGTCATGCCGGCCATTTGACCCGGAAGCTGTACGCCGGCTCCCTCGGCCAATAAAGCGAGATGAGCGCCACAACCCCAGAGTCGGACACGACTGGACCTAATGGTCAGGGGTCCCCTTTACCCCTTTACTTAAGCATCACAGAAAATATACTGGAGAGAGCTAAAACATTGATGGCACCGGTAAAGCTGCCTTTGGTTCTGGATCATTCTGTGGGCGTGCCAGGGGCATGAGGGCGTTTTGGCCCCATGATCCATGGCTGCCCTGATGTGCCCCCAGAATGCCTTGGTTTGCCCACCCCCACTGCTAGTGGAACATCTGCACTTGCAGGGCTCTCTGTGCCAAGGCCTGTCTGTAGATCTCCCTCTCTGCTGGAGGATGGCATTTACAGCTTCCTAAGACAATTCAGCTAGCCTTTCACCAGCTGTAGCACTGCAGCCCTGGCTAATTATTCATTACTGCATTAATGATTTAAAACAGCAAACACCATCATTCAGAAAAGCTTATTTTAAGATGCTAATTGGACCGGCTCTCCTTGAAGGTTATCATAATGACTTCTGGATATTTAGAGATACAGTGGTACCTCTGGTTACATACTTAATTCGTTCCGGAGGTCCGTTCTTAACCTGAAACTGTTCTTAACCTGAAGCACCACCTGAACACCTGAAGCTGTCTCGCCAGCGCTGCGTGATTTCTGTTCTCATCCTGAAGCAAAGTTCTTAACCCGAGGTAATATTTCTGGGTTAGCGGAGTCTGCAACTTGAAGCATATGTAACCTTAAGCGTATGTAACCCGAGGTTCCACTGTACTTGCAACTGCTGGTGGGGGGTAAAATATACCTCAAGGCTTATACCACCCCTTCCAGGTATCCCGGCATGTTGAAGAAGCATCTGTGGACAAACAAAATATCTCTTGAATCTCTCTCCCCCCCCCCTTTTGCAACACTTACATTTGGGAAGGTGCTAATCACCTGTATTCAGAAAGGGGAGAAGCAAGTTTGCCATTGCTGACTTGCTCTTTTGCATGGAATTTATATTGTACTGAGGCTTAGGTGTCTAAAAATGGCCACAGATTCAGCTTTGTGCAACCACACATTGTTGACACAAAAATGAATGGACCCGATCCAAGCTGGGTTAGGCATGACATAGTCCTGATTAAAGTAATGGGACTCCTCATCACCTAGGCTGCACCAGCACTATACATTTAAAGCATCATCATACCACTTTAAACAATAATGGCTCCCCCTCAAAGAATTCTGCAAATTGTAGCTTGTTAAAGATGCTGAGAGTTTCTGGGGGATACCTATTTCCCATATGAACTTACAGTTCCCAGAGTGGTTTAACAGTCAACCCATTTCCCCAGAGAACTATGGAAATTGTAGCTCTGTCAGGGGAATAGGGGTCTCCGAAGAACTCTTAGCACCCTTAACAAACTACATTTCCCATGAATTTTTGGAGGAAGCCATGTCTGTTTAATGTTGTAAGACTTGCAAACAATAGTTTTCAGCCCTGGTGCGCATTGCCCATGGCTTCTGCTGCTGCTCATCTGAAGCAAAATTAAAGTTAATGTTGGGAGAAGAAAGGAAGGGGGAACATTTCTCTGGATAGGCAAAGAGGTTGTGTGAGGAGCAAGCCATCAAGCCCATAATCTGCTCCCAGTCTCAGCAGGGTTGTAGCAACACTGGGCCTTTGTCATATAAAATTCAAACCGTTTGTAAAATGCCTTGGAAGCCATCTTGATATTTATGATGTTATATTTCCATCCAATATGAGAAAAAACCAGAGGATCATCTACTCTGGAAAGCACTGTGCATGTCAAGTCTCCAAAATAACAATCTATACTACTAGTAACAAAACAAAGCATGAAACAGGTTCTCCTTAATTTGATGGACAACAGTTTGAGGTAAAATTGTATTAGTTACCGGCATTGCAGAGCAGATTCCTAACAGGACTGAGATAAAGATCCATTTTTTCATATCTCTGATGTTATGTCTTGAGTAAAAAAAAAGGACCTGGGAAGAATTTCAGAGGATGATGAGGTCCTGGAAATGAAATATAGTAAACAGTGAAATAGTGCAGTGCAAAGACCCTTTTGACAAATGTGGTTTGCCTTCCAAGCTTGAGGTACTTAATACCCAAGGCTGGTGAAGTTCTTTTATCAGCTGAAACAAAAAATCCACAACCATTTCTCAATATCCCTAGGAAGATGGAAAAAACCAATTATTATAAATTACAATACAATATTAATACAATGCTAATAAATCAAATAATTTATTTTAATCACTAATTAAATGGATTTAATTGCTGCTTTTTCACTATACCCCAAATCATGACATCACAATCAACCTAATGGTAGAGGGAGCCCTTCCCATGATGCTCTGCATGTCTAAGGATCCTTGGTCACTTCACACTGTTGCCAAGCAGTCAGAAGGAGGAATGCGAGGCATTTTTGAATCTTCCCTGTTGAACGGAGTCCTGCTTTTCCAACAGGAGTAGCTTATGGAGAAAAGGAGAGGTACAGGAACTAAATGAACAATGCCTTGTGCCAGTTGTGTGGCAGGCAAGCCTTTTCTGGTACTGTAATGCAGCTATGGGGGAATCATTACCTGTTAATATTCTGCCTGTGGTGCTGTGAGTTAAACCACAGAGCCTAGGACCTGCCGATCAGAAAGTCGGCAGTTCGAATCCCCACGACGGGGTGAGCTCCCGTTGCTCGGTCCCTGCTCCTGCCAACCTAGCAGTTTGAAAGCACGTCAAAGTGCAAGTAGATAAATAGGTACCACTCCGGCGGGAAGGTAAACGGCATTTCCGAGCGCTGCTCTGGTTTAAGTAGCGGCTTAGTCATGCTGGCCACATGACCTGGAAGCTGTACACCGGCTCCCTTGGCCAATAAAGCGAGATGAGCGCCGCAACCCCAGAGTTGGCCACGACTGGACCTAATAGTCAGGGGTCCCTTTACCTTTACCTATTCTGCCTGTCAAGAGAGCTTATTAAAGGTAAAGGTAAAGGTACCCCTGCCCGTACGGGCCAGTCTTGACAGACTCTAGGGTTGTGCGCCCATCTCACTCAAGAGGCCGGGGGCCAGCGCTGTCCGGAGACACTTCCGGGTCACGTGGCCAGTGTGACATCGCTGCTCTGGCGAGCCAGAGCCGCACACGGAAACGCTGTTTACCTTCCCGCTAGTAAGCGGTCCCTATTTATCTACTTGCATCCGGGGGTGCTTTCGAACTGCTAGGTTGGCAGGCACTGGGACTGAACAATGGGAGCGCACCCCGCTGCGGGGATTCGAACCGCCGACCTTTCGATCGGCAAGCCCTAGGCGCTGAGGCTTTTACCCACAGCGCCACCCGCGTCCCAATAGAGAGCTTATTACTTGTGTGCCATTTACTGATTTGATATCAGACCCTACACTTCAGCATAGAAGCAGGTGAGGATAAACTCTTTATGAACTGAAAAGCTTGAATGAACTGGGAGTGAATTTGTTTGCTTTGTGAAAGTGCAAACTTGAACTCAGACAAGTTCATTTTTGGATAAGAGGAACTTGAACTAGACTTGTTCCTTTTAAAAATGGACTTTGCAAGTACCTCCAGTTGCGGACGGGATCCATTCCGGAGCTCCGGTCAGATCCTGAGGTTTCTGCAACCAGAGGTGTTGCTTCTGCGCATGCACGTGGCACATAGAGTGCTTCTGCGCATGCGCGCGGGGCAAAACCCGGAAAAATACTTCCAGGTTTGCAGTGTACATATCCTGAAGGATACATAACTGGAGGTGAACGCAAGTAGAGGTACATTGTACTGGTTTGGGCCAGTGGAGATCCTCATGAGTAAACCCCTCTCTGGTTCCTGGTGGCTCTGCTGCTTTTATACGTTTTGAGCATACACTAATTTCCAATAAGAATAATGCTGAAACTGTCTGAAACTTTAGTCTACAAGATAATGAGGGTTTTCATAACAATCACAATCGGGCCTACCTAATATACACCCTGTGCCAAACATTTTTCTTCCCTAAAGAATAGCTTCTGTCACATGTTTATAGCCTAACACTGCAAAAAGTAATTTTAGGCTGAGAGTGCACAGAGATATAAAAAGCAATGCTAATGAATTGATCCCAAGCAAGCTCTCCAGCACAGCGGGGCCATATTCCACAAGTGGCAGGGCTTCTAGATTAAATACACTTGTCCTGTAATTCACTTATAGAGGAACGGAAGACACATGTGGAAATTCTTGCTTGGGGAATTGGGGGTGGCCCAATATATTTTGCTGCCTGAAGCAAAGCAGCAAATGTTATGTGCCCTTCCCAGTCAACACACACACACACCACAAAATGTATTGTGTACACACAGCCAGTCAAGTTACTTTAGCACCTGAGGTAGAAAAGTGTCTCTCCCTGGGAATAAAAATACAGCGATAACAAACCCCAAATCAGCTGCCTGTGGCGGCCATTACATTCTGCCTCGTGGCAGCTGAGGAAAGCTGAAAGGGTTTCTTGACGATAAATTTTAGGGAAGAAGTTATGACAACCCATTGCAGCAAAAATCAAAAGCAAAGTAAGTAAAACCTTAAAGACTAAGTTTGTTTCCTGAAGACTGTTTACATAGCCTTCAACATTTATCTGATAAAAATAGGGACATCCTATTAACAACAACAATTTTATTATTTATTCCCCGCCCATTTGACTGGGTTGCCCCAGCCACTCTAGGTGGCTTCCAACATATATAAAAAGCATAACAAAACATTAAACATTAAAAAAAAACCTTCCCTATACTGGGGTGCCTTCAGATGTCTTCTAATGGCTGTATAGTTACTTATCTCTTTGGCTTGGGAGTCACATAACTCCATGCCCCCCAACCCTTCTCTGGTGAAAATAGCGACATCCTAATGACATTCCAGGATCAAATCAGAAACCTGGGACTGGTTTCTAAATCTGGGACTGTCCCTGGAAAATAGGGACACTTGGAGTTTAGTTAGTCTGTGTTTAGTGAGCATTTGTCCTTGCACAAAGTTTGCAGGGCGGTGATATGAAAACCCCCTACTTTTTGAACATTCACTCTGATTTGTTTCTGAGGAGGCTATAGGACCTACTTCAGGTAATTATTATCCCACTTTCCCCCAGTGCTTCCCCTCACCACTTCCTTCATCACAAAAGGCACATTGTTAATTTTTTTTTGAAAGGGGAGTGGGTTTGTTCTGCAAGAGCACCAAATCCACTTTCATTGCCCAAACTAAAGTTGTCAGTGTGCAATTAAATCCTACCCACAAAATAGTGACTCTCTGGAAATGGCCTAGCACACTTGCCTTGAGCTCTCGCAATGTAAGCTTTGTCACTTTTTCCCACAGGGTTCTTCTCTCTCTCTCTCTCTCACACACACACACACACACACACACCACTAGCCTGAGGCAGAACTAAAAATTCAGGGGAAAGTGTGCTGTCGTGACTGCTTTCTTTCTCAGACAGAACTCTTGCCTCTGATGGAATACAGTCCCCTTCCTCCAAGCATAGCTGTTACAGAAGATGGAAAGAAATGTTTACCTTCACGCTGTCTTGAAAATCCCCCAACCCTTGTTGTCTTGAGGCAACTCGAGAAATCTTCAGAAGATAAAGCTTTCACAGGAATGATTTGTAAACTTCTCTCTCTAGAATATAAGCCTTATTGAAATGGCCGGCTAACCAATCAATACTGAGCAAAAGGGCAGGGGAATTGCAGACTTCCAGCAAGTTCCCACCTACCCTTACCACAGCACATAAAACTCAAAGCCATAATATCTCATTACTTATAATTGCATCCTCAAGTCTATATTTATAGAAACCATTGTCTAACACATAGAAAATGAGCACAAAAACAGAATGTGTGCAACAAAGCAAAATGGAGATGAAATCTTGTTTATGACACCAGGTGTCTCGGCGGTCACCCTCTCCATGCTGCAACAGAAGTGTTCTACCTGAAACGGCTCCATTTTAGTAGCTATTCCACAGGTGTAGCTTTCCACCTTACTACATCTCTAGAAACACTGCCCTGTGGAATACCTACCTGCCACTCAGCTGTTCAAGTTGCAAATCCTGTATCAAAACATGGACACACTGCAGGTACAAAATGAACTAAAACCAGGAGAAAATGTTGGTTTAAGGACATAACCTCATCTTCTGGTAAGAAAGAAAAATATATATGAAAGCAGCTGATATTTATTTAATAGTTTATAGTTCATTTCATGTTTTCTTCCAGTGTCAACATTATATGTTAATCTGACAATCCAAAAGCAACACGGTAGTCTAATAATATGATTACAACACTTTTATATCACTACTGAATTGTATCTTAATTTACAATCAGCGTACAATATATACATGGTGACACCACCTAATATGAGTTAAGAAAATGTCGCAAAGTAAGGGATTTTTTTGGCTAGTATAACTTCACAAAGAATCACTGAAACTTGAGGCAACATGCCTTCCAAGGTAAGTGTAAAATCAGACAAAGCACAACTCATGCGGTGTTTTGCAGGGAATAAGTTGAAGGATGTTGGTGCTCCAAAAACAGCAGCAGTAGCAGGACAGTCCTTCCAGGATAACCGACTGTTTCAAATGTTCTTCCTCAGCTGATAATAATAGCTAACGCTGTCAGCCAATTACACTGATTAGTGTAAGCTGAACCATTTCTATCCTGTGTACCCTTTGGGATGTTTTACTTGGTAATGTACCTCTTATTGTGTAATAACCATTTGTAGAATGTTCAGGTATATCATCGCATTTATTGTATTTGAATGTAGTTGATTTTATTTGGTGGTCTCACTGAGTTGCCAGCCCCCCCAGGTATGGCCAGGAACTTCCAGGCATCAACCTTAATCTCCAGGAATCTCCTGAGGCTAATCCTGGAGATTTGACAAGTAACCAGTGCTGTCCCACATTGGCAAGTGCTGATAGGGCACATCCAGATAGGGCCATCCTATTCCATAATAATAATAATTTTATTAGTTATATCCTGCCCATCTGACTGGGTTGCCACAGCCACACTGAGCTGCTTCCAACATATATAAAAACATAATAAAACATTAAACTTTCAGATGTCTTCTAAAGGTTGTATACTTACTTATCTCCTTGGCTTGGGGGGTCACTTCAACCTTCATGCCCTTCAAGATTTCTCCAATGAAAATAAGGACCTCCTAAGAAAAAGCATGGAAGTGAGAGCTGGACCATAAAGAAGGCTGATCGCCGAAGAATTGATGCTTTTGAATGATGGTGCTGGAGGAGACTCTTGAGAGTCCCATGGACTGCAAGAAGATCAAACCTATCCATTCAGCCCTGAGTGCTCACTAGAAGGACAGATCGTGAAGCTGAGGCTCCAATACTTTGGCCACCTCATGAGAAGAGAAGACTCCCTGGAAAAGACCCTGATGTTGGGAAAGATGGAGGGCACAAGGAGAAGGGGACGACATAGGACAAGATAGTTGGATAGTGTTCTCGAAGCTACCAGCATGAGTTTGACCAAACTGCAGGAGGCAGCGCCTGGAGTGCTCTGGTCCATGGGGTCACGAAGAGTCGGACATGACTAAATGACTAAACAACAACAAATAAAAAGCAGGACTTTCCAGGATCAAATCAGAAACCGGGACAGCTTCTGTTAATCTAGGACTGTCCCTGGAAAATAGGGACACTAGGAAGCGCCGGGGAATGTTCTCCAGCAGTGAAGCAAGGCTGGGTAAAGTGGCTACATGGGAGTCAAGAGGTCTGATCAGGAAGCTGCAGGAGATACAAGCAGGTGGGAGGCTTAGTAAAGAGAGGGGGAAAGGATGGAAACCAATCCTGCAAAATATTCAGCGGTTAAAAGAGGTCATGAGACAGCCTAAGTATCTGGGCATTCATTCAGATTCATGGCTTTGGGGATTCATCAAGACTCAAATATTGGGGATTCACTCAGACTCCCAGCCTTGGGGATTGTGGCACCATTCTGGTTTCTGTGAGCAGGGGTTGATCAGTGTAGTTCTGGAGAAGTTTTGCAGCACTTTTCTCTGACAGATGAGGTCCCAGTTTTAGAATTTCTCCAGGAATTTCCCCAGTCACAGTAGGCATATAAGCAGTCACATGTACGAACTCACCCACTCATTGATGTGTAACTGGGCCCACAGAAAATTATGTTTGAGCCCAGTAAAATTAAGGTATTCTGGAAGGAAGTTTCATCAGTAATGAGGCATAATATACCTACAGTTATTATCCCACCAAATCTGACTATCATCTGAAGGCTGCCCTGTTTAGGGAAGTTTTTAATGACTGATGTTTTAATGTATTTTTAACTTTTGGTTGGAAGCCTCCCAGAGTGCCTGGGAAAACCCATAAATTATTGTTATCATTGTTGTTGTTGTTGTTGTTGTTTTATTTTAGGCTCCATAGAAGGAAGTCACAGATATCCTCAGTGCTTTTTTCTGGGGGACGCAGTGGGATGCATACCCCTAAACATTTTGTGAATCTAAGTTTGGCCTCATTGAAGGGCAGTATTTCAATATGAGGAGGAAAATGAGAGTACCCCCCCCCAAAAAAAGCACTGGATACCCCCAATTAATTATCATTGGTTTAATGGCAGCCACAATAACTTGGATATGCCCTGTAAATAGTGGGATCAGACAGAGCAGGATATAGAAGATGTTATGCTTATGTTGACATCAACACATCTGATGAGAGGATGTGTTGGATCAAGAATGAAGGAAAGGAATAAACAAGATAAAGAGACATGATTATAATTGGAATTGGTTTGTGGTCTTTAACCAGAAACATTTCGTTGACGATGTTGACTTTTCAGATAAGAAAGAAAGATGTGAGTGCATTGTTGTACACAAGTATGAAATGAAAACTTTGATTTGTTTTGTAATATTTCATCTCAAGAAATTTAATAGCAAAGCAAAGGTAAAAGGTAAAAGGTAAAGGCAAAGGAACCCTGGACAGTTAAGTCCGGTCAAAGGCAATTATGGAGTGCGGTGCTCATCTCGCTTTTTATTTTATTTTATAAATATTTTATTAAATTTCTTTCGTTATAACAAATTACAAATACAATTATCCAATTTTACATTTTACAATCCCCACCCTCCCCAATCACTTCCCTCATCTTCCCCTTATGTTTTGTTACATTATTTTTTATCGTCTGCATATTAATATACTTTAGATGCTATTGCATTGTCTTTCTTCATATTTTACTTAAATAAGATTGTGAATGTTTCTTCAAAACCTGCCAATGAGCCCATCTCTTCTTGTTGTTTTTGTAGGTAAGCTTTTCAGGCTGAGGGAGCCGGCGTTTGTCCACAAACAGCTTTCCGGGTCATGTGGCCAGCTTCTGGGGCAACAGGACATTGTGATGAGTGCCAGAGCGCTCGGAAACGCTGGTTACCTTCCTGCTGCAGTGGTACCTATTTATCTACTTGCACTGGCCTGCTTTTGAACTGCTAGGTTGGCAGAAGCTGGGACAGACCGACAGGAGCTCACCCCATCATGCAGATTCGAACCGCTGGCCTTCTGATCAGCAAGCCCAAGAGGCTCAACGGTTTAGACCATAGCACCACGCCGGATCCCTTACTGAAGGGGGGGGGGAGACCTTTACTGGAAAAGGTATTTAATTTTAATTGACATCATATGACTGGGATATGTCAGTAGAGCACGAGACTCTTAATCTCAGGGTCATGGCTTCAAGTTTCACATTGGGCAAAAAGATTCCTGCATTTTGGGGGGGTTGGACTAGATCAGTGTTTCCCATCCTTGGGTCTTCAGCTGTTTTTAACTACAATTCCCATCATCCCTGACCACTGCTCTTGCTAGCTAGGGTTGATGGGAGTTGTAGTCCAGAAACAACAAGGTTGGGAAACAGTGGACTAGATGACCCTCACGGTCCCTTCCAACTCTACAGTTCTATGATTCTATGAAATGACATGATGGTTCTGTATGAGGTGATTAATTTGTGATGGTTCACACCTGTGAGTCACTTAGTTGAATGACTACAGTGAATGAATGCTGAACATACCCCTGCATTAAGAACAGGATGCTCCCATCCCAAAATCCCATGAATTCTTCAGAAAATATAAAGTCATATAATGCCCCCTAAAAAAACAAACCTAAACCAAACCAAAAAAAACCCTTCAGAACATGGCATCCCGATAAAAATCATTGAATACTAAATAATTCAAATCACTTCTTCACTTTTTTTTCAAAGGGGACATAGAATTGTCACATGACCATTTTTTAAAGCTCACCTAAAACCAATATATATAGGGTTAAACCACAGAGCCTAGGACTTGCCGACCAGAAGGTCAGCAGTTCGAATCCCCGCGACGGGGTGAGCTCCCGTTGCTCGGTCCCTGCTCCTGCCAACCTAGCAGTTCGAAAGCACGTCAAAGTGCAAGTAGATAAATAGGTACCACTCTGGCGGGAAGGTAAACGGTGTTTCCGTGCGCTGCTCTGGTTCACCAGAAGCGGCTTAGTCATGCTGGCCACATGACCTGGAAGCTGTCTGCGGACAAACGGCGGCTCCCTCGGTCAATAAAGCGAGATGAGCGCCACAACCCCAGAGTCGGCCACGACTGGACCTAATTGTCAGGGGTCCCTTTACTTTTACCTTACAACCAATATTAATGCTCCAAAATGGGAGATTTGAAATACTATATATATTTGAAGTAAATTTCT